AAACAACACAATAAAAATAAATTCCCGGGAATCTGAAACATACCGAAAACTAGTAAGACATTTAAACAGCAAAAAAATTGTGCATCATACGTACCAGATGAAAGAGGATAGAGCATACAGAGTTGTAATTTGTAATCTACATCATACAGTGCCAATTAATATAATAAAAAGTGAAATAGAAAAACATGGGCATTTAGTACGCAATATTGTAAATATAAAACACAGAGTAAGTAAGGACCCTCTAATGATGTTCTACGTCGATATAGAACCTAATCAAAATAATAAAAAAATATATGAAATTAAATTTATAAACAACGCGAAAATAGTTATTGAGCCACCGTATAAAAAGAATAATATTGTCCAGTGTACCAGATGCCAATTGTATGGACACTCTAAGACATACTGTAATAGACCTTATCACTGTGTCAAATGTGGAGGCAACCATATGTCAGCCGATTGTAAAAAACCTAGGGACACACCTGCCATATGCGCTCTCTGCAATGGAGCACACACTGCAAATTACAAAGGATGCCTAGTATATAAAGAGTTAATTAGCAGTAGAAACAGAGCAAGAGGAATATCATCGCACACTCCAGCGAACAATCAACTGCCATATAACAGAAATACAGTACAGAATAATCCGAACTTAAGCAATCAAAATCACGCGACTTACATACAAGCAACAGGTGGAACAAATGTAAATAATGTTAATAATAATACGAACTTATACAACCAAAATGAAGCAACTTACGCTCAAGTAACAAGTGGAACACATGGAAGCAATACACACAATGACATTGGAGAGATGATGAAGAGTTTCCTTAACGAATTCAAATCTATGTTTTCACAACTAATAAATTAAAATAGCGTGATCTTAAACATGCTTTCCACAGTAATAAATAAACTCAGTAATGAAACTTAAGTCACTACGAATTGCACAATGGAATGCCAACGGCCTAGGCAACCATAACACAGAAGTTACTAACTTTCTTGAACATAACAAAATTGATGTTCTACTCATATCGGAAACCCATTTCACTGACAGAACGATGTTCAAGATCCCTCATTACTCTATTTACAACACCAAACATACATACCGATGGAACAGCACACGGTGGTGCTGCTATTATTATACGTAACACCATACCACACTATGAGGAAACAATGTATCAGACGGAAAAAATACAAGCTGCAGTAATCTGTATCAGTTCTCAACCACAGTCTTTTAACATCGCGGCAATGTACAGCCCTCCAAGGCATAATATCTCCACAGCAGAATATGAAGACTTCTTTAAACAGCTATCAAACAAATTCTTGATTGGAGGTGACTGGAATGCCAAGCATACAGACTGGGGGTCGAGACTATGTACGACAAAGGGAAGAAATCTTAGGCAAGCCATAGCTAATACAAACAGCTCTTACTTATCTACAGGGCAACCCACCTACTGGCCATCAGATCCAAACAAAATCCCAGATCTACTCTACTTCTTTATCCTTCATAACATGGCCTTAAATTATTTTGACATACAACCATCCTGGGATCTGTCCACCGACCATACTTTCATAATTGTAACACTATCTACGCAAATTATAAAACGTCCGCATATCCCTAAGTTAACAACATTAAAGACCAACTGGAATGTATTCGAGTCTTACATAAATGAAAATTTAAATTTAAATATAAGATTAAAGCAACCAGACGATATCGATAACGCTATGCTTATTCTCACCCAAACTATACATGCAGCCGCAGAAATAGCTACACCCCCTCAGAATGACAAAGAACCAAGTGACACCAATATACCCGTGTATATAAAACGTCTTGTAGCACAAAAAAGAAGAGCCAGGCGCATATGGCAAAGAAGTCGCAATCCTATAGACAAAAATGAATACAATAGATTAACACGGCAACTTAAAACTGTTCTACAAGACGCGAGGAATGATACATTTGAACTATTCATCGACAGCCTGTCAAAAGAAGACCACAGCATCTGGAAAGCAACGAAATCATTCAAGAGGCCTACACAGCACATACCACCTCTAAGGAAAGACGATGGAAGCTGGGGAAAAACTGAACAAGAAAAGGCATCAATCTTTGCTGCACATCTCTCACACGTTTTTGGTGCAACTGAACTTAATAACCACAATGACGAAGAACAAGTTAAAAACTTTTTAGACACTCCATGCCCAATGATGCTACCAATCAAATTCTTTACTCCTAATAATGTAAAAGAACAAATTTCTAGATGCAATAACTACAAAGCACCAGGCTTCGACATGATCACCGGGCTAATATTAAAAAAATTACCGAGAAAAGCAATTGTCCTACTAACAATGATATATAATAGTATTATAAGATTAACCTACTACCCGATTAATTGGAAGTTTGCACAAATAATTATGATAAGTAAACCAAATAAACCACCAAATAATATTACTTCATATAGACCAATCAGCTTACTTCCAATAATGTCAAAAATCTTTGAAAGACTTCTGCTCCAAAGAATCTCAGAAGACATTGAAATTAATTCAGTGATCCCAAACCACCAGTTTGGTTTCCGCGAAGCCCATTCAACTCTACAACAGTGCCATAGGATTGTAAAAAACATTAATGTATGCCTCGAAGAGAAAAAAATTTGCACTGCTGCCTTCCTGGATATAGAACAAGCCTTCGACCGTGTTTGGCATGACGGCCTCCTATATAAACTTAAGTCATCCTTTCCCACCCCTCACTATCTTCTTTTAAAATCATACCTCACAAAACGTTACTTTCAAGTCAAATTCCTTACAGAAACCTCTCATTACTATCCCATAAAATCCGGTGTCCCTCAAGGAAGTGTCCTGGGTCCCCTCCTGTACCTCATATACACTGCTGATATCCCAACAACAAATACGACCACAGTAGCCATGTTCGCAGATGACACCGCCATAATATCCATCGATGATGACCCCCAAGTAGCATCAGGAAACCTTCAAATACACCTGAACCTAGTACAAGACTGGATGAATAGATGGAAAATCAAAGTTAACCATAATAAGTCTAATCAAATTACAATCACCAATAGGAACATCATATGTCCGTTAATCAGACTGAACAATATACTACTACCAGTAAAAACAGAAGTCAAATACCTGGAAATGACACTTGATCAAAAACTCACTTGGATAGCACACATCTTGGCCAAAAAGATCCAAATCTACATGAAAATACGTCAAATGAATTGGCTAATAGGCCGAAAATCACAGTTATCAACAGATAATAAACTTCTATTGTATAAGTGCATAATAAAGCCTATATGGACATATGAATTGCAACTATGGGGCTGTGCAAAGCCTTCTAATACCAAAATCATTCAGAGAATCCAATCCAAAATACTCAGAATGATTTTCAACGCGCCGTGGTACGTTAGTAACAAAACTGCATGATGACTCTGGTATACCGTTCGTTGAAGACGAAATCAGCAGACTAACAAGAAATTATTTAGAACATCTGCCAACCCACCCCAACGAGGAAGCAAGACAACTACACCTCCAACCAGAAGTCAGACGAAGATTGAAGAGACAGTGGCCAACAGACTTTATACACTAATTTCAATTTTAATTTTACTTTTCATCTCAATTTTAGTTTTAAATTATAATCATACATTAATTTAATTTGTTAGTGTTAGTATTGGGAGTGTTATCAATGGATAATTTCTCCTCTCATGTATTTGCAATAATCACATTTACTAATAGCTTGTAATAGCAGATTGTAAATTTGCATATTTAATAAAAAAAAAAACATTTTCACGATTTATAGCATCAATAATTCTTTTTTCGACATATGGAGTTGTTTTCTGCACTAAAATATCGAGTATCTCGTATTTTAGGAGCAGTCTATAAAACGTTAATGGTGTATCATTTTCCCTACTTTTCACAACTGTACCAAAAGAAGTATTTTCATTTATATAACCTCAAATGTATTCAAATTTCTATTAACATTATTCCAAATAATATTATCATCCTAAAATATTTCAAAATTAGATACATTTGAAATTTATACGTAACTATAAACTTACCTTAAGTGTTTCCACTTTCTGCCGTTTTGTTTGTGGTTTACAATCCGAAGAGTATTTACTGTTATCGGAAATATCACTTTATAATGAATCTGCATTTGAATCATCAAATTCACAATCATTAGCATTTGCAATTCATTGACTCTTTGAAATCCTCTTATATATGCATTATAATAACGAAGAATTTTTCAATGTTTCTTAGGGTCAGGAAACACCTGGAATTTGCGGAGAGCAGGGATTGATTCATTTTCCTGATAGGACTATCCAGAGGAGTTCCTACACGCTACCCCAGTTGAAATAGATCTCGCTTATCAGTTACCAACGGCACTGCCGATAATTGATTAGGGCGTCAACGAGTGGATTATGAAAGATCGGCAAATGGAACTAATTGATGATGCAATCGCCGACATGGTTATCAACCCAGACAATGTCACTGAGGATGACACAAATGAGATAATCGAGAAAATATCTCACTCCAAAGGATTGAAGGTGATTGGAGCTGCCCTCGAATACATTAAGAAACAGAAAGAGTCAACTCCTACTAATATCACTTATCTTTGACGTTGTCGCAACATCTAAGCGTCAAAACGAAGGCAGAAACTGATGCATAAATCTATCAAAACCTTTTTTAAAACATGAAGATGATCCAGTACGTAAATGTTTTCCTATGTATACTTTTTAACTATTTACTCTGTATGCAGGTTTAAATACTTCGATTGTACATAATAAACTAATTGCATACGTCATAACTTTTAAATTTTTAGTTTATTTTAAGAAAATAACGGCTCTCCGCTTTATCCGAGTTTTTCGGTATTCGATGTATGTGCGGTCCCAATTAGCTCGGATAATCTATATCTAAGGATACTTTAGAAACCTAGGGAGAAGAAAAAGTTAAATAAAAGTTGTATAGATTAGTAGTTGTATAGTTAAATAAAAGATATACTGTAATTTTGTCAAAGTAAATAAATAAATTTTATTATTTTTAATATTTTACATTTACACATTTACAATTTTTTTAAAAATAAACCGGTTTTAGTAGATATGTACTCGTATACGATAAAACTGTATTTAAATTCTATAAAATGCTCCAAAAAAAATTATTTATTGTTTATACAATAAACACCAATAGAAGAATAAGATTTAGCAAATGAGCAGCATAACGTCTGATGTCGGCACTGGCAATAGCTGCATCTGAAAAAAAAATTTTAGTGTATTTTTGTAAAATATGCACTTTTAAAATGAAGAAGTTAATCAGAATTATTTATTTTTCCTACACGTAGCATTTTTTATCGAAATTGTCAGGAAAAAGGGTAGAAGAGCAAAAATACGATCAGTATGGACGGATGAGGTTAATAAAAATTAACACGTAAATTGCCATGGGGGACAAACGTCTGCCATTTGCATATATTGTTTTCTATACATGTGACCGTGGGGTACACATGATGTCCCCAACAGGTCAGTTCACACTTCTAGCCGCGTGTCACTGATTTTGTTAGACAGATCCGTTTAAGGTATATGTAAGCGGTGAGAGCATGTATTGGACAATATGGACCATTAATTGGTTTGGGTGTCAGAGCATTTTACGATAGGTTTGAAAGAGAGATTTTCGACAATTACAAAAATTAAATATTTTAGCATTTCAGAAATCTTTATTTTGAGGTAGATGCATGTTTTTTAAAATAACAACTTAAACAATAAGATTTCGAACACTTATTGAAATACAGTTTTGTTTTCGGGGTTTTGTTTTTGGCAACTGTTCCTTCCGATTTTATTAAGACTTTACGGAACAGGATCGCCTTTTCTCGGTTTCTATAAGCTCGTGTTGATCTGTTTGCCTGAAATCGTCCAAAGTCCTAAAACGTACATATACAGGGTGGCCCAAAAGTCTGGAAACGGCCAATTATCTCGTAAATTGCTAGTTATAATTGTACAAAATTTGAGGTACACCTATTTTGGGATATGGAGATTTCATATTTGGTATTTGCAATGTTGCCAGATTTTCCGTTTCTCGTATATTATTAGTAATTTTGGTTTTTTAAATGCATCAACCTGTATATTTAGTCATTATTGGAATCTCCTATTCAATACGAGTTCAACCGTATGTAACACTTATGATTTTATGTAGTCTGAAAGGTCTTAAATACATAAAACACAAGTCTGGCAACGCCTAATTGTTTCAATAAATTTTTTAATACTAATTATTTTCAACTACATTAAAACGTAACAATTAATAGATTAGATCATTTTTTAACAATAGTTACGTTATTAAGTGTTCAAAATGTGTTCAATTTATGAGTTGACAGTACCCTAATCGATGGTAGAATGCGTCTATCACATTTCTCCATGATGGTCTAGAAACAATTCGAAATTCATCGATAATTCGTTGCCTTAGCTCTGCAAAACTTGCTGGTTAAGTTTTGTAGACTGAATTTTTCAAGTATCCTAATAAAAATAATCTTTATGATTAAAATCGGGTAAACGTGAAGGCCATTAAATTCTACCTTGTCTACCAATTTATCGTCCGGGAAATATCTCACCTAAATTACGCCGAACATTTACACCAACTATCTGACGTTAAATTTTTTCTCGATAAAAATGGCCCAATTGACTGAGTACCTACTATACCTGACGATACATTTAATTTTTGTGGTCTTTGACTATGGTTTTCACGCATTCAGTGTAAATTTGCAATTCTTTGCAATAAAATTGCAGTGTACTTAATTCTTCCAATAAGTTTATTTTGTATGGTTTAAACTTATTTTTACGTAATATACGTAAGACTGAAGAACGACCTACATCTTGTATTTGCGCAACCCTGCCTGAGGATGTATGTGGATCTTCAACAAAACTTTTCTCTTTCCATCTGTCTTTACCTTCTTCAGATTTCTCAAATCGCTTTACAGTTTTTTGTACTGTCGCCTTATGAATAGGAGAACGGTTTAGAACACAGCATTTTAGAGAAGCAATTTAAATTGCAGAACTTTTCGAAACACAACTACTGTCACTTTTACTTTATAATGTAAATCGTGAACAAATGTCAATATCACAGCATTCTACATTTAAATATTTAAATTTATTGTATTTAAGACCTTCCAGACTACATACAATCATAAGTGTTACATATTTTTGAACTCGTATTGAATAGTTGAACTCGTATGAAATTCACACTGAATGAGTGAAAACCATACCAGACCACAAAAATTAAATGTATGATCAGGTATAAAACGAAATTTAACGTCAGATAGTTGGTGTAAATGTTCGGCGTTATTTAGATGAGATATTTTCCGTACGATAAATTGGTAGACAAGGTAGAATTGAATGGCCTCCACGTTCACCCGATTTCAATTCGATGATTTCATCGGATCGAAAATTCCATTTCCGGTAAAAATTTTGTGTTTAGCATAAGGACCTAACCTCTTGTCCTTCCATTTTTCTACAAAAATGCCAGTATTGCTTTCTTCTGCAATAACTTCTCCACGTTTTAATTTGGCTTGCAAAACAATTTTTTTGTTTAATTTTCTGTTGCTACGAAGAGTTCCAATTATATGGGTATTATTCTCTAGCAATTTAGGTGCCAATTCTACTGATGTGTAATAATTGTCCACTACAATGTTATGGTTCTCCCGCTGTTTAGCAAGTCTATGGTTAAGTTCAGAACAACCTGAGATGGAACAGAATACTCTTCTGAAACCTCTTTTTCTCTTCCACAGTACACCTTTAGGTCATATAAATAACCCCCCCCCCCAAACACAGTTTAAAAAGTTTAATTCCAAATTTAAATCGTTCCTTCGAGACATATTGCTTAAATTTTAACTTTACTTGGAAAGGAACAAGTGTCTCATCTATAACAATATATTCACCAGGTACTATGGAAGCGTGAAAAGTTTCCGGTATCTTTGATAGTAAGGGACCGATTTTATGTGGCCTGTTATCCACATTAGCTTGTTCGTTGTTCGTAAAATGCCACATTTTTAACAAAACTTAGAAGCGGTTTCTAGACAAAATATGTTTTAGTGAATTTTGATACATACTTTTTTTTTTCAGTAGGCAGAAAGGGAAGGAAGCTGAACTAATTCCATCCACATAAGGCATCCTAGAAATGCTTTAATTACTCTATGACGCATTGATCGAATTAAGTGGTCTATATAAAAATGCGAATTATTCATCCAGATTCTTCTAATGGCATGATACAGGTCTTCTGAGTTTGCTGAAGGACATGACAATCGATTTAAGTTTCGACCTACCATATCCCACACATGTTTGATGGGTAACAAATGAGCTGATTTTGACGGCCACACCAAAGTCGCTATACCAGATTCTTGTATAAACTTCATGGTATCATGGGCAATATAAAGTCTTGTGTTATCCTATTAAAAGATTGCAATTGGGATAGTTTGTAGGTAGGGATGTAAAACTGGTTTCAGTACTTCAATAATATATCGTTGGGCTGTCAGAGTGCTGTTAATAAGAACTAGAGGTCATCTGCGTCCCAAACATATACCAACCTATACCATAATGCTCGGTTGTCTTGTTGTATGACGTTCAACAGTCAAGTCTATATGTCATCTTTCATTTCGAAAACGTCTTATTCTTATGCGCCCATGAGAGTTACTCAAACAAAACCTGGATTCGTCACTGAAGTAGACAAAATTTAATTGATCATATCTGAACGTCGAGAGTTATGCTGCTTCTTGAGATTACCCTTCCTGTAGCTACAGCTAAATCATCTCTTACTTGATGCTTACCGTCCCGTCTAGTTCTTAGACCAAGAAGTCGAAGATGATTCAAATCACAGGCTATCAATATTCTGGTAACCTTACTTAATGTAAATGAAATTTTACATAAATTTACTAGTATTTAGGAATATAATAAATAACAACTCGTATCCATAAATATAAATATACAGCACCAGGATTGCAAAAAGATACCAAAAAATTTTAAAATATGTAGACGTATTGAATTTTTGGTAATTTTGAAAGAAAATCATAAATAAAATTAAGTAAAGAGTAAGAGAAATTAAAAAGACAATGTGAATAACTAATAATAGAGACGAAGAGAAGCTTAGGGTAATAGAAAGGAAGATCCTCAGCAGAATAATAATAGCTATAAATTATAAGAAAAAACACTCATCTGAACGCAATAATAAGAATTAGCCACCATCATACTATTACCATTGGTATAACTTGCCTTGATTAAATAAAGATGTGATAACTGAAACGATATAAAAACTTAAAACAAGATTATCATTACCAAGTATTTCTTCCTTTACTGTAATTACACTCTTCTTCTGAGTCAAATAATTTGCTTCTGGAACCATAACCAGGCATTCAATTTCTGTGATATCTTCTTTTGCATAAAATACTGTTGTCACTTTTGCGTCATAAATATATTGATTCGGGATTACTTCTATTTTCAAGCCAGTTAAGTCCCTGAAAATATAAAAATTTTAATTAAAAATTTTATACATGAAAATAAATCACAATAACTTCTACCTAATAAAAGTTAATTTTTTTAATTAACTATATAACACTATAAAGGTTAAAACTTATTATATAGATATAAATTATTAATATAAATTATTATTATATAAATAATTAATAAAACTATAAATGTTAAAAATTAAATTTGTAGTAGGAGGACTTCAACTGTGAGTTTCCTAGAAGCTACGGTTTCATTGAGTCTGTTTTATATCTTCAGAACTATCAAAAGAGTCCCTGAATCTCCGTGAGAGAAGCTTCTTAAAATCATTTAAGGACACTACAATTACAGATTCGGATCCCAGCAGTAGCGTGAAGGAATTCTCCTTGCTTGCAAGGATATCAGCCAATTCATTTCCCTTTACCGTTTTCTCGGTATTCATATTAAGTAGACCTTATTAATATACTAGGCTGCTAAGATTCTCTTATACTCCAAAACTAAATGGGTACTCTGAGGTTGTCAACTCAAAGTGAGGGGCGATTTTCTTCTATACCGTAGTAGGCAATCACTGCTAGAATCTTCAAGTAAGCCAACTAGGATTTGATCCAGATCAGCCTAACCTGGGGCTACCACACAATGGTGACGTAGCGTCCAGATGTTATGCAACAGCCTGAATTTAAGATCCAAGATTCATTCATCACTATCCCAAGAGTACTGGAATCTCCGCAAGAGAAACTTTTTAAGATCACCCTGGCTAGTACCGAAGATCACTACAATTACAGATCCGGGTCTCAACAGCAGCATACTCATATCAAGTTGATCTTATTAGTACTAAGTTGCTGAGGTTCTTTAATATCCCAAAACTATCTGGGTAGTCTAGGATTGTGAACTTAAAGTGAAAGGCGATTCTGTCCTGTACCATAGACAGCAACTATTGCTAGATACTGGAGCTGTGCCAACTGGGCTTTGGTCAAGATCAGTTTAACCGGGGTCTACCTAAGTTTGAATCTAAGATCACTTGGAGCAATTTAAAGTAATCTAAGACTTTTCTCTACATAAAAGCACAGCATAATTCAAATTAACGGACGGACAACTTAGAGATCAAGGATGCTAAAATAGTATATAGCATTTTTATAAATAATAATTCAGAATGCAATATGATAAATTATTATTAATTTTTTCATAAAGGTATTTCTTAATTGTAGTAATAAATTAGTTGTTACCTGTCTCCTAATTTTAACGACAAACTTGGTCTTGGGAACACTCCTTTTACCTCGCAACTTATTTCGAATTTTCTTGGCCCCAGTAGTTTTTCCTTTATTTCGAAATATTCAGGTTGAGCTAAAATACATATAATATAAAGTGAGGCACTGTATTTTAAATATATTTTTACATACATACATAAGAATTATTGTTCTGAAGCTATTTTCTTGTGGCAGTTTAAATTAATTACTATTTAACTGGGAATAAGCCACAATTAAAGATAAAAATACGTTTATTGACGTTTCAATTTCCACTTCGGAAATCGTTCTCAAAACACAAACAGTTTGTATCTTGAGAACGATTTCCGAAGTGGAAATTGAAACGTCAATAAACGTATTTTTATTTTTAATTGTGGCTTATTCCCAGTTAAATACTAATTTACATAAGAAGTATCGGACGACCGCGCAAAAGATGGAGTGACAACCTTCTATAGAGGTATTAATCCGCCAATAAACCAGCAGAATTGCTTATAAAGAGGAAGAAGTAAAAGAAAATGTGAAAAAAGAAGATTATTGCGATATGACTCTGCAATATTGCAGAATCATAGCGTGATATCTATCTTCTGTGATTCAACCTAGATGACGCTACGCTATAATACCACTTCAGTAGGAAGAAAATTTCCTTAACATTCATTTATTTCATTTTACAAGTCTGTCCCTGATCTGACACTTTCTTCTTCTTCTTTCAGTTCTTCTCCTATATCGAAGATTTATATCATCAAGGCTATTCAAACTTGTTTTGTAGCTGTTCTAAACAATTGGTTTGTAGTGTAACCAAATGATTCTCTTAGATTTATCATAAAGTACATTCTTTAGCGGATCCAAATACTTTGGATCCAAAATGATTATGTAAATTATATTAGACTAAAATGAACGAAGTAGAAGATATTGATTTTCCAAAGCCATAGATGAATTCTATAAATTTCGATAAATTCTTCAAGAGTTTTTTTAGTTGAATCTGTTGTCACCATTTTTTAGAGTAGATTAAAAATGGCCTGGCAATACGGTACAGGTCTATTCCAACACAGGTTCCGGTCTACCCGCGCAGCCTTACCTGCATAGTAATGCAACTTACTTATAGTAATGCAACTTATAAATTTATAGATATGTATAGTTAACATACCATTTCTTTTCCTATTGGGATTCAATGTAATTTCCCCAGCAAATTATACATTTTTATTGCTTACCCTATGTAGTTGCCATTAGACTAACGTCGCCCGTACACCATAATACCGTCGACTCACTGAATTATAAGACACAGAATTTTTTTTTTTTTTTTGATTAAAATAACCAGCTTCTAGCTTATCAAACAATTTCTCACATAGTTTTGAATTCACAAACCATGTAACTGTTCCATAAATGGATAATTAACTTAATTTTGTTACAAATAGGAAAAAGTTACAAAAGGAAACTAAAATTAGTATAAAAAGATAATTTTACGGTAAAGAAAGAAGCGGGAAAGAAGCGGGTAGCAGGTAGGTATTTCTCCTGGATGGAATGGAGGTTTTCCTCCATTCCCTAATTCGAGGAAACCAGGTCCAAACCCCAATATTATCCAACCCAAACCCCAAATTCCTTCCCTATATCCCCCCATCTATTTCACCGAAGGATTGCCGGTATAAGCAATGCCCCACTTACTGGCCAACGGCCTTGGGCGTATGAGCTGGTAATGACAGGGCAGCTTACTGGCCAACGGCTTCGGGCGTATGAGCTGGTAATGACAGGGAACTCTTTAGTCCGAGGGTTGTGAAAGTGGCCCTAAAACCGAAGAAACCTCAGTAGAGGACAACAGCATAAGGATGTAGAAGGCCGAGGACAACCACTACATTAAAGATTCCATTGAATAGTCCTAGTATAAAATCATATATGGTAATGCTCACAACCAAATACAATTCCGGAGTAAGTTCCCCAATCGGATTTCCGGGGGGGGGGGCAGACACTCTGAAAAGGAAAAGGCAGCAAAACCACAATATTTAAAAATTTGCACATGGAATGGGAAAACTATGGCAAGAAGTGAAAAAATAGATAATGCCATTCAGGAAATGGAAAGAATGACCATTGACATAATGAGAATAAGTGAGATGAGATGGCCCGGAACAGGAAGCATTGAGAAAAAAGATCATAGAACATTCTACTCAGGGTCACTAGATGAAAAACTAGAGCATGAAGTTGGTGTGATAATAACGAGAAAAATTAGTAGATGTATTTTAAATTTTGTCCCAGTGTCCAACAGAGTAATACTACTGCAAATAAGAGCAAATCCAGTGAATGTAAACATAATACAAATATACGCTTGAACTGCAGATAAAGACGACGAGGAAGTAGAGACTTTCTACCAAAGCATAGAGGATATATTAGAACGAATACCTAAATACGAAGTCAACATCATTGTGGGGGATTTCAATGCAAAGCTTGGGGCCGAACAGAAAACGTCTCTAATCGGACCTTTTGGGTTAGGACAAAGAAACGAAAGAGGTGACAGACTAGAAATATTCGCAGAAGATAACAAGCTAGTGGTTCTGAACACATTTTATAAACTACCACCGAGAAGATTGTATACAGGAAAGGCACCAGCAGATAAACCCCATAACGTAATTAGAAACCAGATAGATTATATATTGATAAATAGAAGATTCAAAAACAGTTTTAAATCTGTCAAAACATATCCAGGAGCGGACATTGAATCTGACCACATACCTTTAGTGGGAGTCATGGATGTAAGACTGAAGACAATAAAGAAAAAGTCTAGACCTAACTACGACATGACAGCCCTGCAACATCCGGAAGTTAAAAAGCAAGTGGGCGAATATATTAACAACCAAGTTAAACAACTAAAAGAAGAAAATAACATCCAACAAGAAATCAATCAATTCGAAGAAATAATTAAGGGAACTAAACAAGATCTGCTAAAACCAAACAAAGAAACAAAGAAGAAATCTTGGATGACTCCAGAAATTCTTCACTTAATAGCACGCAGAAGGTTAATTAAAGAAAATAAAGATAAGTATAAAAAAATGCAGGCTTACATCAAAAGAAAAATAAGAGAAACTAAAGAAAAAGAAGCTGTAGAGAAATGTAAAGAAATAGAAAGACTACAAGCCAAGCATGACAATTTTATTGTATACAAAAAGGTAAAAGAAATAACGGGTACTTTTAAGCGAACACAAATGAAACTCATAAACACCAATGGTAAAATAATCATTGACACCCAAGAGATGACAGACAAATGGATAATATATTTGGAGACACTTTTTCAAGATCAAAGAACGGATTATAGGCATCCATTTTCAGATAGGATGACGGGCCCGGACATACTTAAATCCGAGGTAGAAGATACAATAAAACGGATAAAAAGTAGGAAAGCCGTAAGGCCTGATAATATCGAAGCTAAATTTTTAAAACTCTTGGAGGAAAAAGGAATAAATTGGATCACGGCTGTCTTCAATAAAATATACAATACAGGAATCATCCCTGATAAATGGCTAGAATCAGAATTCGTAGGGATACCTAAAAAACAGGGGGCTAAAAAGTGCGAAGAATATCGAACAATCAGCCTAATGAGCCACATGTTGAAACTGTTTCTTAGAGTCATCCATGGAAGAATTTATAAGAAGTGCGAGGAACAAATATCGGACAGACAGTTCGGCTTCATTAACGCAGTGGGTACCAGAGAGGCACTTTTCGGAGTACAGGTACTGATTCAAAGATGCAGGGACGTTAACTGCGACGTAAACGCGTGCTTGATCGACTATGAAAAGGCATTTGACAGAGTTCAGCATCAAAAGATGATAAACATTTTAAAAGAGGCAGACCTGGATGACAAAGACCTCAGAATAATTTCAGAACTGTACTCGAATCAGACCGCATACATGAAAATTAACGTAGAAGAAACATATCACATAAAAATACTACGTGGAGTTAGAGAGGGATGTATCCTATCGCCGTTGATATTTAATATGTACTCAGAGAAAAATTTTAACAAGGCTCTTTGCGGAATAGACGAAGTCATCCTTCTAAATGGTGAAAGAGTAAACAATGTTAGATATGCCGACGACACCATGGTGATAGCAGATAGTTTAGAGGGACTTCAGAGGCTAATGGACAGAATAAACGAGTACAGTCAACAGTACGGACTAAACATTAATACCCACAAAACGAAACAAATGATTATCAGCAAGGGGAATATAAACGGGGCTCATCTATACAATAATGGGACGCAGATAAAGCGAGTAAAACAGTATTGCTACCTGGGAACTATTATAAACGAACAGTGGAGCAATGTACAGGAAATAAAGTGCCGCAAAGGAAAGGCAAGAACGGTCTTTAACAAAATGAGCGCCATCTTCAAAAGTCACAACATATCCCTAGATAAAAAAATGAGACATTTGAGATGTTTTCTCAGTTTTGTTGTACGAGGCGGATTAATGAACGCTTACAGACACCACTATTAAAAAACTTGAAGTATTTGAGATGTGGCTTTATAGAAGAATGCTGAGAATATCATGGACAGCAAGGATCACGAACAAGGAAGTTCTAGGAAAAATGAAGAAGGAACCAGAGATTGTGTTTACGATCAAACGCATAAAATTGCAATATCTGGGACACGTTAAGAGAAATCAGCACCGTTACTCCCTGCTGCAGTCTATATTGCAAGGTAAAGTCAAAGGTAAGCGAGGACCCGGTAGAAGGAGAATATCATGGCTGCAGAATTTAAGAACATGGTTTAAGAAAACCTCAACGGAGCTGTTTCGAGCCTCAACGAGCAAGGTTATGATTGCCAATATGATTTCCAACATCCAAAACGAATAGAAACCAGAAGAAGAAGACGGTAAAGAAAAATTAAAAGAATTCAAACCTCCTCCTTACAATATCAAATTAATCAATTTTAACAAAAAATTTTCGAAAATTCAAAATTCAAAATTCAAAAATTTGTCTTTTTTTATTTCTAAAATTTGAAAAAAACGATTAAATGAACAATGTCTTAACGCTGCGACCTAGAGGAAATCAAAAACGAATGAAATCTTTTTGATTTTTTATCAACAGATGATCCGATTATAAGTTACGATAAATACCGCAAAG